CAACAGGTCCCAGAAAGCCTTTAGAGGGAAGGAGACAAGCCACAGGAAGGAGAGGAAGGAGTAGGAGCTAATGCTAACGCGTTAGCAAAGAGCACCTTAGGGAGGCAGAGCCCCTCAGAAGGGAAGGACGACACTAACTGGGGCACTGAGTGCTTCTGTACATGAGAATGTACTAAGAGCTAGACTAAGAGCTAAGAGCTAGGCTAAGAGCTAAGAGCTAGACCAAAAGCTAAGAGCTAGACTAAAAGCTAAGAGCTAAGAGCTAAGAGCTAGACTAAGAGCTAAGAGCTAGACTAAAAGCTAAGAGCTAAGAGCTAGACTAGGAGCTGAGAGCTAGACTAAGAACTAAGAGCTAAACTAAGAGTTAAAAGCTAGGCTAAGAGCTAAGAGCTAGACCAGGAGCTAGATTAAGACATAAGAGCTAAGAGCTAAGAGCTAGACTAAGAGCTAAGAGCTAGACTAAGAGCTAAGAGCTAAGAGCTAAACTAAGAGTTAAGAGCTAGGCTAAGAGCTAAGAGCTAGGCTAAGAGCTAAGAGCTAGACTAAGAGCTAAGAGCTAGGATAAGAGCTAAGAGCTAGGCTAAGGGCTAAGAGCTATATAGCTTATTGTCATTGTGGTGAGAAATGTAATATTGTGTCTACTCTGTAAGTCGCTTTGGATAAAAGCGTCTGCCAAATGCATAAACATAAACATAAACATAAACATAAGAGTTAAGAGCTAAGAGGTAGACTAAGGGCTAAGAGCTAACAGCTAAGAGCTAAAAGCTAAGAGCTAGACTAAGAGCTAAGAGCTAGACTAAGAGCTAGGCTAAGAGCTAAGCTAAGGGCTAAGAGCTAAGAGGTAGACTAAGGGCTAAGAGCTAAGAGCTAAAAGCTAAGAGCTAAAAGCTAAGAGCTGAGAGCTAGACTAAGAGCTGAGAGCTAGACTAAGACTGCCTCTGACGGGTTCTCCTGCCCTTTTTTTTTTTTTTTTTTTTCATTATAAAAAGAGATAGAATCCAGGTTTATCTGAGACAGGAGAAACGTTACACTGACAGTAAGGTTTCACCAAAAAATTCACATTTACAGTATATGATGACATATTGGCCTCATCACGTTCCTGTCTGTGTGACAGACTCAATATAGATTCATGTTTTTTTTACATTCTCCTGCCCTTTTTCCCTTTTTAGCCGTGGGGGTTTCGTCTAACTGCAGCTCCAACACCTACTGCGGCAGTGGGGCGATCTCGGAGCCCGAGGCCCAGGCCCTCACCTACTTCCTGGGCAGCCGGAAGGAGGACTTCCTGTGTTTCCTCACCATCCACTCCTACGGCCAGCTGCTCCTGGTGCCCTACGGACACCCAAACTTCACCGCCCCCAACTATAACGAGCTGGTATTTACATATCTGACACGCTCAGGGAGGCTCACAGCTCTAAGATGGATACAGAGAGCAAAATACATGAGGATTTAACTAGAATCTATTCAGAATATAGCTTAAACATGCTGGAAAATCAGATGTACAGTCATTCAAAAGCTTGATTTTATTCTTAATTAGCCTTCTTTATCAGAAAGTCTGTTTTTTTGGGACTGCCAAACTTCTCTAGTTGCTTTAAATCAGGGGTGTCAAACTCCAAAACACAAAATTTAAAACCTGAACAGATAAATGAACCTTTTAATATGGAACGAAACAAATTTTGCTTTAACATTGAGTATGGAACAAGCAACTCTTATTGCATTATATATACCTTAATAGTGGAGACAAGCAAAATCAAATTTAAAATAAAATAAAAAACACATCAATGGCATTCATTTATGAAATAGAATTTTAAAACATTTTTCTATTCGCAGCCTTCTGAATTAAATATCTAAATTAAATGAGCTTGTCCAGAAAGTTCCTGTTTCCTGCCTTTATTTGTTCATTTTTCGTAGTAATTTGGTATTGTCTCAAATTGGGCCAGAGTTTGACACCCCTGCTTTAAAGCCTCTTGTTTATCATAATAATAAGAATTTATTTATTTATTTAATCAGGACAGTGCACATTAATGAACAATCTCATGCAGATTGTAAATGAGCCAGATTATAGCATAGTTGCTAATTTGCAGGGGAAAAAAACAACACAAAATCACATAATACAATATCAGTTAAAACAGAGAGACACACGTCCAGACAGTTATAAATAATGATAAAAGGCCTTTTTAGGCTAAAGGCTGTTTATAGATAAAATCTGGGCTTTATTTTTTGGGGTTTAACCTAAAATACTGGAACCACTCTGAGCCAAAGCTGAGGTTCAGTCACAGCTCTTGGCTGCCCCCTGGTGGTCAGAAACGGGACTACACCGACTGTCCAAAGGGTCAAAGGTCACCCCAGAGGTCCAGGCTGACCGGGGGGGGGGGCTTCTCTCCTCAGATGGAGGTGGGGCTGCAGGCGGCCGAGGCCATCTACCGGGTCCACGGCCGGCGCTACACCGTGGGCTCCTCCCCCGACGTGCTCTGTGGGTGACACGCCTCCGTCGCCGTGGAAACGGTCCAATTTTCAATTTCAATTCAGTTTTTAATTCCTATAGCGCCAAATCACAACAGCAGGTGTCTCCCAGATTTCCAAACAGACTCTGAGTTATTTACAGAAGAACAAGAGTTAAAATTAAGAGCAGCACTAGGAGACCCAGGGAGGGAAAAACTGCCTTTAGGAGGAAGAAACCTGGAACAGAACCAGAGGGGGGGGAGAGAGAGAGAGAGGGCGAGAGAGGGAGGGAGGGAGAGAGTGAAATAGAGAGAGAGAGGGCAAGAGCGAGAGGGAGAGAGGGTGAGAGAGAGGGAGAGAGGGAGAGAGGGCTAGAGAGAGAGAAAGAGAGAGAGAAAGAGAGAGAGAGAGGGCAAGAGAGAGAGAGAGGGCAAGAGAGAGGGAAAGAGAGAAAGAGAGAGGGGAAGAGAGAGAGAGAGGGAGGGAGAGAGGGCATGAGACAGGGCAAGAAAAAGAAAGGGCGAGAGAGAGAGGGTGACAGGGCAAAAGAGAGGGAGAGAGAGAAGTAGCCTACACAGTAACACATATAATGGATGAAAAATGGCAGTGAGATTATTATTAGATATTATTAGACTAATGAAAACAATAACAGTTTTGATAGCAATAAGATAGTAAAAAGACTCAGGAACCCCTGGAGGAGGTGATGGGAGGAGCTTCCCAGCCCTGACCTATGAGAGAAAGAGAGAGAGAGAGGGTGAGAGAGAGAGGGAGAGGGAGGGCAAGAGAGAGGGAGAGAGGGCGAGAGAGAGATGGAAAGAGAGAAAGAGAGGGAGAGAGATAGGAAGAGAGAGAGAGAGAGGGCAAGAGAGAGAGAGGGCAAGAGAGAGAGGGCAAGAAAGAAAGAGAGGGAGAGAGAGAGAGGGCGAGAGAGAAAGAGAGGGAGGGGGAGAGAAAAAGAGAGGGAGGGACAGAGGGAGAGAGAGATTACAGCCAACACAGTAACACATATCATGGATGAAAAATAGCAGGGATATTGAGACTAATGATAACAATAGCAGTTATGATAGCAAAAAGACTCGTGTAGGAGGTGATGGGGTCCTCCTCCCAGCCCTGACCTCTGACCTCTGAGGGAAAGAGAGAGACGGAGAGAGGGCAAGAGAGAAAGAGAGAGAGAGAGAAGTAGCCTACACATATAATGGATGAAAAATAGCAGGGATATTGAGACTAATGATAACGATAACAGTTATGATAGCAAAAAGACTTGTGTAGGAGGTGATGGCTCTTCCTCTGACCCCTGACCTCTGACCCCTGACCCCCAGACCCTAACTCTGGCTCGTCCCGGGACTGGGCTCGGCTCCAGGGCGTGCCGCTGAGCTTCACCTTTGAGCTGCGGGACAACGGGACGTTTGGCTTCCTGCTGCCGGAGGGGCAGATCCGGCCGGCCTGTGAGGAGGCCTTCAGCGGGGCGCTGCACATCCTCCAGTACGCGCACGCCCAGGCCTTCAGCCGCGCCGTCGCCCCCGG